CACGGACCGCAGTCCAAGCGCCTAGCCAGCCGACCTGCTCTCGTACCTATCAGGTAAACCAACTCCCTGATCTACCCCTCACCCTCCAGGTGTAACTGCGGGATACAGTTATGAGTCGCCGCTTGACCTAAGACAAACCTAATACTGTATTTAGGTTTTATGTTCCTACATGTTGGTATCATTTGGTTTAGAAACCAAATCCTCTGTATAACAAACATCAGTAAATTCTAACTAAGTTTACTTACATAAATACAGTAGAATACAAATGGACTTTAGTATTTTACCGGAGAAGCTTGCAATGGGCGTTTATAAAATTGCGTTGTTACAATCTTGCTTCTTTAGAAAATCAATCGTAACAAAGTGGATTTTTGTTACACTAATAAATACAGGAGTGCGCAAAAGAAACGAACGCGGTTGTTATAGTCTACAACTTCTTAATTATTGAATCAATTCAATTTCGGACAAAGAATTGAGTCTAGCTATTCAAAGGGGGAACGCTGCCAGTATCTTCGGAACCTTGCCTAAAGTTACTAATTTTAATAATATATTTTAATTATTATATTATAATTTCTTTGGTTTCTTAGTTTTAGGTTAGTTGTTCTAGTATATATATTTTTACTACTAGTAACTATTAAAAAGTAAAGGGTGTTACAAAATGATAATTCAATTTTTGATTAATATTATAATACTTTTTTAAAGGGGTATTAGGATAATTTAAACGTGAAAAAGACGTCGCGGAAGTGGTGCTCATACTCAGCTTCAAAGTTTAAAGTTTTCCACACACGTTTTCCATGACTTTTCTTGAGATTTCAGGAGTTTCTTCCCAAGTATTATTTTTAGGTGGGGCATAGTCTCTGGGTTATTCAAGTACACACGTTCTTTTAAATATCCCCAAGGAAAGGAAAAAATCTGGAGCGGTTAAATCCGGTGAATGCGGTGGACAATTAAGATCGCTGTTTCTTTAAATCGACAGTCAAAAAGTCTTATATACCACTTTGGTGGTAAAAATGAGCTTAATTCCACTTTTTATTTAATGTTATTTTTAAGCAGCACCAAAGTGGCGTATTAGCAATTTTGCTTTTCCATGCGTGTGGTGAAAATGTCCCGTAACAGCGCTTCTTTGCGAAGCTGAGAATAGCGCACCAAACAGGCGAGGTTTTTTTTCACGTTTAAATTACCTAATTCCCCTTCAATAAAGTGTTACAATATTGATAAAAACAAAATTATTGGTTAAAAATTTTATTAATTATAGACTATTAAAATGCCCTTTCGTTTCTTTTGCGCCACCCTGTAGTAAAACAAAGTTAAGACCCCGGCACACATCTTGAGCAACGATCATATACAAGGTAGCCTGCGACTGCGCAGCCTATCTTGTTGCTTTTGACGTTTTGGTATGTAAAATTGCTAGTCTGTGCGGAAAGAGAATGGGCGTGGCGAAAAACGGTACTAACATTAAGATTTTTATTTGGCAATCAAGCCCAGCTATCTGTAAAACGTCAAAGTTTTGTATTGATACGGATTTGTTTGTTGTTGTGATTTCTTGCGGTTTTTTGTATTTAATCATGTCTAAAAGGGGTAAAACCTTACAAATACGATAGAAAAGCACTACAGCGCCCTCCAATCTAAATCCCATTCTCTTTCCGCACAGACTGAGACACTGAGCAATTTTACATACCAAAACGTCTACCGCGCAAGTGTATTTGTCTGTGGTTTTGCTCAAGGAGTTACCTGCTACCTATATCTAGCTTTTATGTCCGTTTTTAAAACTTATAATTTTGCTGTTAATTTTTATATATAATTTAAATCTACTAAACGTTAAACATAATTTCTGATAAAATACAATTCCATTACTCTAAATATCGTCAAATATCACCCGGTTTCGTTCCTGGCGCAAAGGTGCCCATTATGCCTGCAGTATTGCCACGATGGATGGCAATAGACAGTCTTTATGCCAGAAACGACCTAGAGCGAGGGTCATCAGAGTTTAAGATGGCCAGGTTCCACACAAATAGCTTGGCTTCTTCGCTCCAACAACCCGAAGTTAATATACTTCTATTAAGTGTCGCCGCACACGGGCCACACGCGACAGCCACAAACGCCGCCACGAGAAGCTAGAAGCGGCTACAAAGGTAGTTGAAGCGCGCCACAGCCATTTGTGGCCGGTTGTCGACACTTGCCGTCGGTGGCTGCTACAATTTTTAACACAGCGTGCAGTATCATAATGGACTCTGACGAAAAAGATTTGAAGGTAGGGAATCGTGTCAGTGACGTGTGGTAGCGTTTGTATCGGCGCATTAGTGGCCGGTGCGGGCCACAAGAAGCGAGCAACGACGATTTGTGGCGTGAGGCGGCCACCAGCGTTAACCGTGTGCGGTGAGTCCATATAAAATGTATGAGAACTGCAGGAAATATGTTGGTGACGGCGTTTTGTGGTTGTGGCCGGGGGCCCGTGTGCGGCGACACTAAGGATTTCAAAAAATTCTTTATGTGTATAGCTATAAGTAGGGCTGATTCTGTATAATAAAATATCACTTCCAATTTCGGTAGCTGCCATTTTAGCCATCGGTTTGTTAAGTATTACGCCATTACACGGTAAAATGTATGTAGAAGCAGCCAGTATTAGATATTTACAATTGTCAGAAATCCGACTAAATGAGAGAGATCGTAAGTAAGATTGCATCTTACAGAATACCTGTGTAGGTCTCCTTAATGCCGGTGGTTCGAAATTTTCCTCCAGTGCGCTTGCTTACTTAAAAAAAGCTACTGCAAAATATTTCTTTGAGTCCAATATTAATTTTCCTACTTAAAACTATAAATAAATTTATTTTTAAAGTAATCTTTCGAAGAATTTATTAAGTAATATATATATATATATATATATATATAATTAAAACTATTAATCAATAATTTTAATTTCATAAGTATTTTTAGACGCTATGACAAAACCATTGTTCCCCTATGTGAGTACGCTTTCATACATTACAATAATAAATACATTTTGGTGTAAATAAACATATTATGTTATATAAAAATAAACCTACATGAAAACCATACTACCAAAAGAACTATTCATACAATTTTACACCACCGAGGCAAAAACCAGCCCAAGTCAATAATTTTAACTTTTAAGTTGCAATGTTGTTGAGTTTAAAAACTTATAGAACAGCGACAAGAAAAATTAAAAAAAAATAGTAGCTACATAACTTTCTTTTAACTAAAATATCTATTAAGCTTTACAAAATTAGAAAATGCACTGAAGATAATCAAAATAGAGAATAGATATGATCATAGTCATTATCTTATTTTTAAATTATTTAAACGCAAAAGATTTTAAAACTCAACCAATTTAGCTTTTTTTATCCATAAAATGGTAATTCATTGGCAAATTTTCAGTATGATTTCCGCCAATCAATCTATATGTGTTTTGTTCTTACAGTTTATTAACAAAAGCTGTTAGTTTTCACTTGTATAAAATTATGGAATTATTTTTAATGAAACCATTTTCCTTGAAAATAATAGCCCATCAGAGATGGGAAAAGAATCCGATTGCCACTACCTAGGCGGACGGCCTAACTTTACCTACTTTATTATTAATTTCTGTTAAGCTGTTAAGCTTACATTGTTGTTGATACTTTTGTCAGTGCTTATATTTAAAGAAACACTTTGAAAGTGTAGGATTAAGGTGGATCAGGTCAAATTTCTTATTTATTTAATAGCATTTAAATTATATAGAATTGAACGCAATTTTCCAACCAAGAAATTAAAATGCGTTTTATACAAACAAAACATGTTACATAATAATAATTTTAAATAATTATATGGTGTTTCAATCCTCGTTTTCAATGCCAATATTTATTAGTTTCCTCTTACTTAAGTATACAAACTTTTTTTGTTATTTCCTAAGCAGCTATAATAATAATATTCGGCATTTAATGTTTTCATTTTTCTTACCAAAAAAGCTATTTCCCACGCGACCGTAAACCAAAGTCTATTACTTTGTGACAACAAATACTAATTCTAACTCATATAAATTGTTACAGTATAATTAAATTTAAATATAATTATTATTGTCTTATTAATATTGTCATAGAGTTATAGATAGGAAAGCTCGTTAATATTATCCAGTATAAGTATTATGATTACATGTAGAATTAAGAATAAGAGAAAGATATTCTTTACTAGGAGTTTCTAGGGATTTAATACAGAGAGGTAAAGAGTGGACCACGGTAAATCGATATGATGGCTTTTTATCAAACTGCAAGAATTTAGGAGACTTTTCATAAAACATTATTAATATTAACCAAATAAATGGAATAATATTTACGTTAGTTACCTACTGACGTTGATGATTTATTTCTTTTCAATATTTTATCAACCACAGTTATTCGTTAATGTTCCTAAATTCTTGCCAATGCGTAAAAAGTGAATAAAAATGAATATTACTGATCGTCCAAAATGCAAAAAGTGACGCGCTCATATTTTACGAAAAATGAGATACGTACTTTTAGCTTATGAACGTCAAAACCAAATAATGGATATGGATTCATTGATATGCGATACATTATCAAGTAGAACCTACATTAACTATTTAAGAGAACCACCATAAAATTAAGTGGCGTTGTTATAATATTTTCGTTATTAAAAATGTAATAAGCACAGCCAAAATTTTGCGGTGGATTCGACATACTTTGTTCCTACTGTTTTTTGGTATAACCTAGTCGTATTTACTTGGGAACATATGCATCAGGCCACTTGAATGCATTTATAATTCTATACTACATTCTAGTTAAATATTTTTTTTAACTAAATATAATATGTCCATACATATTAATCGTAGTAAAGAATTTAGATGATAAATAATACAAAACATGTAGTTAAAATTTCACTCACTTACTTTTTCTTCATGATACAAATAAAAAAAAAATCTCAATTCGCTAAATCTCACTATCCCTTCTACTCCTAACAGTTTCCAAGTAAATGTCGACTCGTCCTACACAAATCTACCTCTTCGGCGACAAACTCTGAACGTAATTCGGGTCCATTTCATCCAAGTCCTTGCCCTTTGTCTCCGGAACACAGCAAACTACGAAGCATAGACCACCGACGCTAATCGAAGCATACAGCCAGAACGCGCCATGAAGACCCAGCGCCTGTTGGAAATCTACAAACGTTTTCACCCCTACGAAAGCGCAAAGGTAACTAAATGCCGTGGCCATTGCACTCCCGAACGCTCTGTACTCCAAAGGAAACAGCTCCCCTATAAGCAACCACGAAATCGGGCTCATTCCTAAAGAAAAAGCTATCGTAAACACCAACACACACAGTAAAGGGATCCAATCATTTTGACCTAAAGACTGGTGGAACATCACGTTTTGAATCCTCTGATTCCTATGCACCTCTTCGTAATAAGCGTAGCTCCCGAAACCAGCTAATGCCATCGACATTAAAACAGAACTCACGATCAGAAGCGGCAGCCTTCCTACCGTGTCGATGAGCAGACCAGACAGACACGAAGCCAGAAGCTGAACGAAAGAGACAGCTATAGCTGCTCCGTGCGGATTCATGCCCCCAAAAGTCTTCCTGAAAATGGGTACGGCGTAAAAGGAGAATGCATGAGCGCCGGAGAACCGTTGGAACATCATCAGTCCACACGTCACCAAAATCGGTCCTAGCAATCGATTCATCGTTCTGACATCCAGAGAGTTTATAAGTTGACTCCCTGACATCTGACTTTGGCGTTGGCTGAAGTTCTTGCTGGCTAAAACGTTGGTTCTTATGGTGGCTAATTCTTGGGCAACATCAGAATTAGGTCCGCGCAACCATAGCAAGCTTTTGTACGCTTCTTCGTCTTTGCCGATGAGGACTAGGTAGCTGGGTGTTTCTGGTATGTAAAGTACTGTGCAAAATAGGAGTAAGGGAGCGGCGGATATGCAGAGCGCTAGTTGTTGCCAGTCGAGATACGCTCCAATGGTGAAACTGAACAGGACACCAAGATGGCCGACGATCTTCAGCACGGCGCTGAGGCAACCGCGGATGTCTGGTACGGATATCTCGCTTATGTACACCTGTAATAAAACAATTAATTTATTTTAGTTTTGCAATAAGTACGCCTCTGTGCCGTCTTTGACCTATTGGAGGCCCTGGGCATATTAGGATAATAGGGCAGATATGACCCGTTTGGTGATTTAACAGGAACTAGGGACTTTGTATTTGATCTGAGGGGGGCCCCTATCGATCGCGGGGCCCTGGGCACTTGCCCAAAGTACCCACTGGGAAAGAGGGGTCTGCATCTACTGCTTCTTTGTATAACGCCTCCCGACTTTTTAAAATCGGACCTGGCAACACAGGCTGCGGCCGTCACTGGGACGTCAACGAGAACGAGATTCTTTCTGTATGTGACGAAGATGACTCGACGTGCTTGCGGTGGACAACACTACTTCGGCGTCGTCATGTCTTTAACGTTCCGGAGGGGACGCTGGACAAATAACCTTAGTCTTTAGCACCTCACTTGGCTTTCGTGCTCATCGTCCGTTCTCCCAATTCCCTCTTACAGAGCTCTCCGGTCTGTGTCCCAGCAGTGGGGACATTGATAAGTGGAGAAAATCAGCCGTTGCTGAGTTTCTTGCCGATTCTTCTCAGGACAAGGTCTCCCGCCGTAGATTTGGGAACCGAAGGCGTAGCTTTCGACTTTTGCATATGCTTGTAAACCTAAACTGAGCAAGTGAATATTGAATTGAATTGAATTGATAGTCTAGTAATAGTCATCGTGGAGCTCGATGGCGCAGGTGGCTAGCGCGTTTGGCTGCGATCGTTGAAGTTAAGCAACTTTCGCAGTGGTCGGTCATTGGATGGGTGACCAAAAATCTTCTATCTCGAGTTCCTCCGTGCTTCGGAAGGCACGTTAAGCCGTTGGTCCCGGCTGCATCTGCAGTCGTTAGTACCTGCCAATCCGCATTGGGCCCGCGTGGTGTCATGGTCATGGCTCAATCTCCCTATTCTATCCATAGGGAAGGCCTGTGGCCCAACAGTGGGGACATTAATAGGCTGATGACGGTTATGATGATGATAGTCTAGTAAATAGCTGCCAACAGTGCAAACTACACCAATCCAATAACTTTATCGGAGCGTAATTTATTTGTTTTTCTATCGCACACACGTATAGCATTACAATATTATTATACCCGGCGGCTGTTATTCGCGTGCCGCGAGGAAACTTTGTTACGACATTTTTCTGCGACGCGCTTATCAGAAGAGAATTTAATAAAGAAATACGTAACTCACACCCCGACCTACGTGATGGATGGAACTTCCAACATTCCTGAGCCGACTCGAGTGTATCTCGTTTCATGTTGCGTTCATGTTAGCAAACAATTAAATGATATTATAATTTTGGAGCTGTAACAAAACTTCGTCTTTTATAATGGGCACAGGAGCCTGCATTAGGTGGGTGGGAGCTTTAGGGGAAGCCTAACTTAACGAAAGTTTCGGACTTTATCAATTAAGAGTGGTGTGACCAAATGATTTTATTTTCGAGGACTTTTTTATTCTGTAATCGCTGATGGTAAAGAAAAAAGCAAATGTTAAGCAGAATCTGGTTAAATTTACATAAGGTACCTGTTTGTTTTTTCGAAATCACCTGTTGTGTCAGAACATTTGCATTACGCAGATTATTTTGCATCATCTTATTAGCAGTAACTTAAAATAACAATACATAGTTTGCACAAATTGACACCTTCCTTATTTTGTGTTTGTCTTCCCTCAGTTAATTAATATTTAACAGTCAATAATATTAAATGAAATTATCATAAAGTTTAATTTTGCGACTTTGTCTAACGTATAACGTTATTTTAATTTATATTATTTTTATTTGACTATTTCCTGTAGATTGAGTTCTAAATCAAAGTGTGTTTAGTTAATATTCTTCTCTGTCCTTCTTTCTACTTTATTATTTCTGGAAATATTTTTATGTTAAAAAGGTAGACGATTTATTAACGACCGATCAAAAAAAAATCTCCTTTTTTCCAAAACCATGTCCACCCCAACGATTGCTTCGGAAATATGCGGGCGGCACGAAAATTAGTTTCTTTGACAGGAGACGAAAGCCTGTTCTACGTTATCAAATTTTCTACCCTAACTTTAGACAGTAAAGCCCATTTTGGCGTGAATAATTCATGGATTCGTGCTTTATACAAAGATATAGTGGATCACACAAATTCGATTGTTTTAACAGAGTTTTGATGGTTAATTATAGCAGCTGTATGGAAGATCATCGTCTTGTTAAATTTATAAGTCTTTTGTGTGCTATTAATAACTTTGAACAACTTTTGTATCAGATTATAGACAGTTAATTCAGTGTTTGCGTGCGGTTAGATTTTTTTTTAAGAACAGGGGGCCATTCGCCTAACGTAAATGCTTTGGAAAACGCTAACGCTTACGATTTCATTTTGTTATTGCTAGCCGCCTGAGGTTTTCATATGCCTTGCGCTCTTTTTTTTTTCTTTTGTATTGGTAATTACAATATTAAAGAAAATGAGCGTGAGGTATTTGAAAACCTTGGGTGGTCAGAAATAACAAAATGAAATCGAAAGCGTTAGCGTTTTCCAATGCACTTCCGTTAGGCGAATGACCCCCAGTTCGATGGCGCAAGTGGTTATCTTATTCGGCTGCGTTCGTTGAAGTTAAGCAACTTTCGCAGTGGTAGGTCATTTGGTGACCTAAAATTTACCTCGAGCTCTTCCTTGCTTCGGAAGGCACGTAAATCCGTTGGTCCCGGCTGCATCTGCAGTTGTTACCACAAACCAGTCCGCATTGACGCGTGGTGGGTCATCATGACCCATTCTCTCTATACAGTACGTGGCTTCAACCGTGGTCAATCTCCCTGTTCCAGCCGTAGGGAAGGCCTGTGCCCTAGCAGTGGGGTCACTAATGGGCGGATGATAATGAAACTAACCCAACAGAATGGAACAGCAGAAGTCCCCCAAGAAGGCGGTAATGCTTAACATCATGACCGAAGTAGCCAGCACTGTGAGCAGCCAGGGAAAATGACTCTACCCCATCTGATGTTAAGTTCTGTTAAGGTCCAGACGCGAAGATAGCTGATGCAGCAGTTATGAACTGCTACCGAGGATGGTAGTACCTTGCCGACCTGAGAAATACTTCTTCACGCCTCTTTTAAAGGATCCCAGATTGTGGGAAGAAGGGAAAACATGCGTGGGCAAAGAATTCCACTTACGAAGTCTTCGATCAACAATACTACAGATAACGGATCAGCGCGTAAAATCCGTCTCGGTAAATATAGCCTCACTTGCGGCGTGAGATTTTATTTTCAAATAATTCGGTTAATACACAGCCAATGGGTCGGTCGGTAAATGGTCATATGTCCGAAATAAAATTTCGTTATTTGTAACTAACTTTATTCCTTTGTAACATAGTTGTTTTGAAACATTTATCTTTGTTAATTGGGTTTCGAATACTCATAGGCGCATAAGTATATACTCTCGCGGACAGTTTATAGCTTTGATTCTGTATGCAACCCGTTATCTATTTTTTTTATTTTATTTATTTAATCTTTATTGCCTTATATGTAAATGGCGGACTTAATGCCAATATGACATTCTCTACCAGTCAACCGGAAAGAACGTGCAGAGCGAATATAACGGCAAAGAATAAAACAAAAGAGAGTAAACATCGAACAATGCGAAAAACAAAATTAAAACATAAAAATGCATATATCCTATATATATCTAATAATATATTACACATAAACAAAAATTCATACATAAAAACATATACTTAATTATACAGTGTCCGATTATAGTAATCTGATTGAGCTTAAGCGCTTTCCAATAGATTAAAATAATGTTCCCGCGGCAAAATCTTAAACGCAGTCTTGTATGGAGCGTTTCGCACGTGTAGATGAAGTGCATTCCAGAGCCGAATGGCAGTAAGGGTAAACGAACTGGAGGCAAAGCTGGTATAGTGAATAGGTACACTAAGAATCACATTATTATTAGAACGAAGATTTAATCGATGAGAAGACCCGAGGAACTGTAAACGAGATTGTAGATATCCAGGTGTACGTGGATCATAAAGTATGTTGTAAAGAGTGCAAACTATCCTTAAGTGTCTACGCGCCCGAATAGGCATCCACTTAAGTTTACTGCGGAATTCAGAAATGTGGTCGTATTTTCGCAAACCGAAAACGAAGCGAATATATCTATAGAATTGTTGATCGAAGCAAATAAAGGAATGAGTCACCAAACTTCGTTGTTCGTGTAGCAATAAGAAAGGCTGATGATTCATGGAACTAACCTGTGGCAAGTATAGTAAGAATAGAACAGCAGAAGTTCCCAAGAAGGCGGTAATGCACATAATCCTGACAGAAGTAGCCAGTACTGTGAGCAGCCAGGGTAAATAACTCTCCCCCATCTGATGTTAAGTGATAGTAAAGTCTAGTCGCAAAGATATCTGGAGCAGACATTATGAACCTGCTATACCAAACACCATCCTCACCTTGCCGGCCTGCAGAAATGCTTCTTTTAAATGACCCCAGATTGTGGGCGGTAATGCATATAATACTGACAGAAGTAGCCAGTACTGTGAGCAGCCAGGGTAAATAACTCTCCCCCACCTGATGTTAAGTAATGGTAAAGTCTAGTCGCGAAGACATCTGGAGCAGACATTAAGAACCTACAATACCAAACACCATCCTTACCTTGCCGGCCTGCAGAAATGCTTCTTTTAAAGGACACCAGACTGTGAGAAGGATAAATAGAAAAAAAAAACACTACTTGTTAAAAGTACGACAAAGGAATGAGTCACCAAACTTCGCTGTTCGTGTAGCAATAAGAAGGCTGATGATTCATGGAACTAACCTGTGACAGCATCGTCAGAATGGAACAGAAGAAACCCTCCATGAAGGCGGTTATACATATCATCATGACCAAAGTAGCCAGTACTATAAGCAACCAGGGTAATTAACTGATGTTAAGTGTTGGTAAAGTCTAGTCGCGAAGACATCTGGAGCAGACATTATGAATCTGCTATACCAAACACCATCCTCACCTTGTCAGCCTGCAGAAATGCTTCTTTTAAAGGACCCAGATTGTGGGAAGGATAGATAGAAAAAAAACTACTTGCAAATAGTACGACAGAGGAATGAGTCACCAAACTTCGTTGTTCGTGTAAGAATAGCAAGGCTGAGGATTTATGGAACTAACCTGTGACAGCATCGTCAGTATGGAACAGCAGAAGCCCCCCAAGAAGGCGGTAATGCACATCATCCGGACCGACGTCGCCAGTACTGTCAACAGCCAGGACAGGCTGCAGGGAGCCGCAGCTAGGGACAACACGCGGCGGCGCCCGTGCCGCATCGCAGCACCGCCGGCCATGCCACCGAATAGAGCACCTGTAAATTGATAAATTTAAATTTTAAGTAAGTTAAATAAAACTAGTTTTAACAAGTTAATGCACGAACTTTATTTATTTATTGACGTTTCGCAGCCTTTTCAGGTCTGCATCATCAGAAATGATTTTTATTATTAATCAGTAAGTAAATTAAGAAATAAACGAAAATGGAACTCAGATAAAACAAAAAAACAGACGCTTGAAAATTTATGTGTTCCATTTTCAAATTATTATTTTTATAAATTTCAGCCAATCGCATTGTAACTGTGAGTTCAAAAAGAAAGCATATATACTACAGTTTGTATATCACTTTATTATTTTTATCAGGTAATAAGACATTCCTTTCATTTAAAATGCTATGTTATTGAGCAAAAAATAATCCTTATGATCGACCCTTTCGATGGTTATCATAAAAAAATGATAACCATCATGTTTTTTTTTTTTCGAAATTTCACTAGTTTCATTCCCAGTTGTAGTAGGCGATTTTAAAAAATCTGTGAATGCAGTTCTAGTTATTATTAAAAATCAATTGATGTCTTCTTTCAGTAAAATATCCTATCTTCAATATTTAATATACTTTCCCTCCGTGTGAGGTAACCGTAGGACGCCCTGTATATGAGTGATGCGTGCGCTGCTTCATTCCCCTGCCTTATGTAAGTAATTTTAGTAAATTACCTAATGTAAGTAAATTTAAGAAAAGAAGTTTCTAAAAGGAGATTGCTCAGCTTCCATACATGTTTGGCCTAAAAACCAATAACCATGAAAAATTGTTTCCTACATCCGAAATTATATATAAATTACCGTAGAAACGAATATTATCGACGGCCACTCCTGAGAACTTCTATAAACCATATACACTGAATGATTTTGAGGTTATGTTTGCAAATAGGCACATAGGTATTAGAATAATAAAAACCAAATAACTTATATAGGAAAATAGGGATTGCCCTTGCTTGCTTGCTTGATTGCAAGCCAAGTACCGATATTATGTATTAGATTCAGGTATATAGAGCATGTAAAATAACAGATATGTGCATGTTTTTAAAAACACGAACAGAAACTGTGTGATGATTGTGAATGAGCCAAAGATTAGAGAGAATTTTTAAACTCTCGTTAATCAAAGAAAGCTAAGAGCTGTAGGTTATACAGCCATATCTTCGGCAGCTTCTTATTTTTGTTATGTTTTTATTATAACCATATTTTAGATTTTTAGTGTATCACACCTTATAATGTGTTTATTTAGGTGTTTGGCAAAAAATGTACGGCAATAGACTCTATGATGTCGCCTACCATCTATATTAATTGTCTTAGCACATTTGCATGTAGTAAAAATGATAATAAAGTTGTGGATATTAATACCACCCGTGTAATAAAAAAAAAATATATTTTATCAATCTTTACAAAATAGATTTGTTTTGATGTTATATAAACAACCTCGATCAGTCTTTGTGAATGTTACTACACCCATAGCCAATAAAAATGATTCGTATGTTTTCCAAACCGGTAAAAATAGAAGTCCTTTTTTAAAATTAATATATTATTTAAAGGTGGCCGTTAAAATCTAATGACTGTAAAATAAAGTATAAATTACGCCAAGAATTACTGTATATGTCAATATTTTATTTGCATTTAGGCCAATTTGACCAATCTCCTTTACTTACATTTTTGAATACTTATATAGTTTAAAATTCAACTCCACACCTCCAACCGTTCCCTGATAAAGTGTCTTGACAAACAGACATACAGTCAGACGGACAACGAAGTGATCCTATCCTATCCTAAAAAAGTGGTTAAATACTTATAAAGCAGGCTGGGATCGAACCAACATTAATATTATTATTTGATTTGTATTGCCACAATTGGACAAAAGGCTGAAAGCAAAAAGCTTCTGTACGAGTATCAACTGTTAGGCATAAAGATAAATAAATAATAAATATTTCCAACACTCACACCAATTAGCCTAGCCCAAAATAAGCACTGTAAGGCTTGTGTATGGGATGGTAGTGTAACGGATAGAATACATATACAGAACATATATAAGTATATTTATATAGAAATACATATTAAACATCCATGACAGGTCCGTCCGGTCCATCCGGTGGGGGCAGATGTTTGTGTTCATCACACAAACATCTGCCCCCACCGGGATTTGAACCCGGGACCTCTCGAGTAGGCGACACCATGAAACCCGGCGTACAAACCACTCGGCCACGGAGGTCGTCAAACGATTTTTTGTTGTCATCATTAAGACGACTTTTGGGCCATCCTTTTAAAAAATCTCACTAATATTATAAAGGAGAAAGTTTGTAAGTGTGTATGTTTGTTACTTCTTCACGTTTAAACGGCTGAAGCAATTTTAATAAAATTTGGTATGGAGATAGCTGACTCCCTGGATTAACAAATAGGCTACGTTTTTCTGCGGGAAAATATGCCTAATTAACCGCGGGTAACACCGCGGGGCGTAGCTAGTAAATAAAAATAACGGTTATGAAGACAGCACGTTGTTCTAATAAACATTTTTACATACATCTGACTAATTACATTTTTAATGATGAGTACACTATAAATTTACATTTATGTGTTGTAATTTTTGTCATAAAATCATCAGGGGATCATTTATTATTTTACCTAAAACTAATGGAGCCATTACTAGTTTTACTTCGTAAAGGTTCATTACACAGCTATTGTATTGAACCAATGTATTACTTGCAGGGTTGTCAATGGTTGGTTACAAAATAATTTAAATTATACAATAATACGAGTTAGTAGGTACCTAAATTAACTACCCAAACCAAAACTATCCAAAGATAATAAATTCTTCTTAAATATGAAGTTTAGCGATTAGTACAACAATAGTAATTAAAATACATAATTATATTACTTTTGGCATGTGCTCCTTATTTTATTTAATTCGATATAGTCCAGGGGACGAAAAGGTATAGAGGGAAATGCTTAGAACACAATTTTTGACTTCGTAACTTTGTTAGGACTAGTTAGGAGGTAAACATATCAAAAGTCCCCGCCCGTAGCCCCTAAGCCGGGGGGAAGGGGGGGGATTGAAGGTCCCATTTTTAGGTTTATCGCATATATCTCGGAAACTATGCATCCTATCGACATGAGACTTTAACAAAAGTGAAAGCTCATTAAATTTGCTACAAGTCTTATTCAGTCAAGTTTTTTGATATCTTGTATAGTTTTTGAGATATCCGTTCTTAAAAGTCTGTAATTATGGAAAAAAAATTGCCACCACTTCCTGGGAATGTTGTTCTACTGCTCCCTCGGCTCTTATATATATGTATATTTATAAGTACTAGTTGACCCAGAGTAGGGGCTGGTGGTAGAAGGGTGTAAATTTAGCGTTGCATGTATTTTCTAATGCCAAATTATAAAAAAATATTTAAAATAGTATTTTAGGGGTGGACTAAGTGGAATGAAAAATAGATAGTAGCCGATTCTAAGACCTACTGAATATGCTTAAAAAAATTCATAAAAATCGGTCAAGGCGTTTCGGAGGAGTATGGTAACTAACATTGTGACACGAGAATTGTATTAAGACATATAGTCGCGTGTGACGCTCGTAACGCTTAAAGCGTTTCAGCCTTCGCCGAGTTACCCTCCAATTTTCATGCTCGTCGGGAAGAGCTGCGCAAGCATACCACACGCACACACACATATATGTATAGTTGTGTGATGCTTGTGACATATTTCCGTTTCATCTTTTCCAAAGGATTTTTCGATTTAGACCCCGTCCGAAAAGAATTATCACTTAAAAAAATATATTTTAAGATTCTGGTTCGACTTTCGTCTAAACCCTGGATCGAGTTCATATTTTTCTAATACCTAATATTATCTTTAGATTTAAAGATGGATTCCTTATTTTAAAAGAAAAACTTAACTATGTATAAATGGTAGTGACAACCCTAGTATTAGTGATATAGACGTTTTGTGACGTAACCGGGTCAGATGGTTTTGTAAATTGATGATAAGTAATGGCGTCACTTTCAACTTGCCTTTAATCAGTAAAATGACTCCATTATGATGAACGACAAATTGGTTTTGTTATCTGTATTTTTTTAAAAGGAATTTTGCTTTCATACACGCTGACAATAATAATTATCATGCCTGACATTTTGATCGAGCGGATGTATTTCTTGTCTTCTTTGGATTTATAAATGCTGCTTTAAATAAAAATTTAATAAATTTAGCGTTACACGTGAACATCAATTTCGTATTAATTGCACGCCTTACAACGCGTAAGCGTATGGAATGGGAGTGATTTACTCTCGATAAGCCGCTATGTGACGATTTTACAATAAAAAATCGCTCTTATCTCCCAAGTTAGACACTAAATCAATAAAAAAGGGGTGTTTTGAAAACTAGACATATTAAATTATAAAGTCAGCGTATTTTTTCATTTTTTTTATATATAACAAAAGAATGTAGATAAAAAATTATTAGTACTGCTGTCCATTGGTCTGTGCACTTGTTTGTCTGCACGTTTTAGAAAAATATACACTATTAATTGTAACTAGTGGCCCGCCCTCGCTCCGCTTCGTTGTAGAGCTGAAGTGTAGACTACAGTTTTTGTTCTCAGGCTTGTATTATACACAAAGACATTCATCTATGATTCTTCTTATACCTGCATGCAAAGTCTCAGCCCGATCGGTTTAAAATTGACAAAGTTTCATTCCCTATTTTGACCTCTTGGGGGTAGGATTGATCAAAATCCTTTCTTAGCGGATGTCTACGTCATAACATCTACCTGCATGCCAAATTTCAGCCCGATCCGTCCAGTGGTTTGTTTGGGCTGTGCGTTGATAGATCACTATATCAGTCAGTCAGTCCTTTGAGTTTTATATATATAGATAAATCCTTTTGAATTAATTTCCACTTATACTGGCTATTTCTTATCATGATTGAACTGATACCCGCTTTAAAGATATTAATGAAATTCAATGGATTTTTTTTTCAATAAGTTTCTCTTCTAGTAAATTAATTTCAATTTGTAATATTTTATCAATATAAAACAATAAGCGTGTGAGGCGTGCACTTTTGGATTTTCCAATTTTTTCAAGTATATTTTCTCAAACCTGATTGTAATTGAGCATTATTTTGACAAACTTCTTCAAGTTACATAGAAATTGCTGTACTGGCACGGTAATATTATCTATACAGTATTGTGACTCCGCCCTGTCCTTGAAAATAAATGCCTACACCGAACGCTGCATTGGCACGCGGTAGGGCCGCCAGCCTATAGTATTTTATGTAGTTTTGTTTTTAACGCGAGTGTAGGTAGATTACTCGTTTGTTTCTTTTTTCATCCTAACCACTTATTTATATATTATTCCAGATATTTTGCCCGATGGAAAAACCGAAATACCTAAATATTAGAAACAAATAACGTACTAGTAGATAGAAGAAGAAGAGATGGCTCTGTAGTCTCCTGAATCGCGCTTTGGTTCCGATGTTCCAGATTAATAAATACTTTTGATAGGCCTTCACAATGCAGTCGTTAGCACCCACTAAATAGAGATTCTATTTCTATTTTGTTGGTAGATTTTCTTAAGGTGCGGTAAACACAACGCGCGCATCTTAAAATTTCACTCTCATCATTTTTTCATAACGCGCCTAAAGAAGTATAACTTCAAAAACAATTCAGACCGTTCGGTCGTCGTTGCGGCGCGGCGGCGCATTCGCGACTGGGTGCCCGCCGAGAGCACATCGAACTCGAGTGGCGTAGGTATGACTCGCTTTCCGACCGTTTGTATGAAGATAGAATACTGTATGATATTATTACCGTGGTACTGGCCAAATACATGCGAGCAGCAGCCGGCAATAGTTGTATGAAAATCCATATCTGTCTTTAGCCGTTTGTGGTTTAGCCGTCAAATAAATTATAAATAAGTTACACACCTAGTAAACTCTCATAATTGTCGTGTTATTTAATAAAAAAAAAGTGGCTGTGACATACGGACGGACAGACAGACAGACGTAACGAATCCATAAGGGTTCCGTTTTTTGCCATTTGGCTACGGAACCTTAAAAATAGGAAGTAATAATTATAGTTTTTACTTAAATTTTGAACTGGCTTGCAAATAGAATACTGTTCATTGAAAAAAAACAAATGCACACTTTAACAAGGTAATGTACTATTTCAAATAAGTTTTGCCTAGTTTTAATTTTTACGCATTATTTGAGAAAAGTACCTAGAATGCAATCCTTGACCACAAGTAGGCATTTGTGGTTGTTTGTGTTCGTTTGTTTATGGAGGAGTATGAGATTTAATAATATAAAACTTTATTAAAATTTTAAAAGTGAGCTAATATTTTTTTAACTCTCATGCATATATTACATGAATAAAATAAACATCAAACATCTAGTATGCCGAAAAACAAGAAAATTTGATTTTATTGGCTTACAGTGACTTTTGGACAAAAAACACAATGTTTATTAGAAGCTATTTCGCAGAAGAACTAAAAAGGTTGATTTAAGCCAATAAGTCATCATTAATAAATTATAAAAACAATACAAAAAAAAATAAAAATACAAAAAGTGTGCGTCGGCCGGGAATCGAACCCGGATCAACTGCTTGGAAGGCAACTATGCTGACCATTACACCACCGACGCTGTTACTTTTTAGTATGAATATTCAATTCTGATAGCTTGTTCGCACTGAAAAGTTATATATAGCTTGTGAGTTCCAGTCGCAACTTTTTGTACGGGTGATTGAATTCCTTTGTCTAGCTCAAAAATGAAAGAAGAAACTAGTGGTGTTACAAATGTCGATATTTGCGATATCGATAGTTAATCCCGAGATTAAGTTGTTCAGCTATTAGTATATATAAAAAAAAACAATGTCGCCTAATAATATTTTTCCCGTTACAATACACAAAAACGTTTTCATATAAAATTTACGATATAGTACTCTAACGAATGTCTAGCCCCGTTCTCGGTGGGCGCCCACAGCTAGTCATCAGCACTTACTCATCCGCGTTGAGCCCAATCTGTCTATTCCATGTATAGAGAAGACCTGTTTTCCAGCCGCGGGGACATTAATAGTCTGATCATTATGAATATTTTTTGCAGACTTACCTAAAAACGACAAGGACGCCAGTCAAGGCGCCTGTTGGTCTGTAAGCAGTAAGTCACGTCAGGTTGCGTTGGCCCCGGGCGATGCCTGACCAGCAGTAGTGAGCACCATTATATTCAAATTCAAATTCAAATTCAAACTCATTTATTCAGTCTAGGCTGTTACAAGCTCTTGTGAAAGTCAAACGCTACGCCATCGGTTCGTAAATCTACGGCGGGAGACCTTGTACTGAGAAGAACCGGCAAGAAACTCAGCAAGGGCTATTTTTTTCTCCCTGTTTTGTTTCACACAGTGTCGTCAATTGAAAGATGACATCAAAAATTGAATACATGTGTTGATGTCAACTTCCATCACATTAATATTATTAATTAACAAAAGTTAAGTATAACTAGGTACTATTTTTAAATTTAGAAGTGGCGATTAAACAATTTTCAACCAAATTAGCAAAGTAAAAAGACAGTCTATTATGTTAAGCCCAAGGTGACTTATCATTTATGAAATCTTTTACAGTATAGTAACCTTTCTTAAGGAGACATGTTTTTATACACACTTTAAACTTATTAAAAGGTAAATTAATTATTTCTTTTGGTATTTTATTATAGTAACATATACCTTGACCCACAAATGAACCAAGAACCTTTTGGAGTCTCAATGGTGGCAATTTGAGTTTATCTTTATTTCTGGTATTGAAATTATGTACATCATCGCGCCTCGTATATAAATTTATGTTCTGACGCACAAACAATATACAATTGTAAATGTATTGAGAGGCAACAGTCATTATACCTATTTCTTTAAATTTATCCCTAAGAGAAGTTCGAGATCCCAAGCGGTAAATGGCTCTTATAGCTCGTTTTTGAAGAATAAAAACTGTTTCAATGTCTGCGGCCGTGCCCCATAATAGAATGCCATATGACATAATGCTGTATAGGGGTGATGACGGGGTACAGTAAACGAAATTCTATTTAGTCCGTCATTTAGATGATCAAAAAATAATGGACACGTATTTTTTCTTTGGGCAATAACCAAAAAATGACAAAAAGTTAGGGAGTAGGGGTTTCAATTTTCACTTATAAGTGTACTCAAACGTGGCGTCATGCGACTTTTCAAATCAATATCTCTGCAGTGTTTATAGTATGTGAAAAAAGAAAAAAACGTGTCCAATACTTTTTGATAATCTACCTGATAAACGAAGAAAAAAAAATTAGTCATCATCCCTATTGGCCGATTATAACAAATACTTTGTAAAAACGAGAGGGTTAACACCCACTAATACACGCTTGGGCCCGCGTGGTGGGTCATGGCCTAATCTCCTTATATCCTCCATAAAGTCGGCCTTCGTTCCAGCTTTGGGGATGTTAATAGGCTGATCATGATGAATAGTTTTTTTACTGGCTTACCTACTAACACGAGAGTGACGGTATCCAAGATGCCTGCTGGTCTGTCAGCTGGGGAGTTATAGGAGAATCATGATATTTTTTTACTGGCTTACCTACTAAACACGAGAGTGACGCTGTCCAAGATGCCTGCTGGTCTGTCAGCTGGGGAGTTATAGGAGAATCATGATATTTTTTTACTGGCTTACCTACTAAACACGAGAGTGACGCTGTCCAAGATGCCTGCTGGTCTGTCAGCTGGGGAGTTATAGGAGAATCATGATATTTTTTTACTGGCTTACCTACTAAACACGAGAGTGACGCTATCCAAGATGCCTGCTGGTCTGTCAGCTGGGGAGTTGTAGGAGAATCATGATATTTTTTTACTGGCTTACCTACTAAAGACGAGAGTGACGCTATCCAAGACGCCTGCTGGTCTGTCAGCTGGGCAGTAATAGGAGAATCATGATGAATATTTTTACTGGCTTACCTAAAAACGAGAGTGACGCCAGCCAAGACGCCTGCTGGTCAGTCAGCTGGAAGTCTCGTCGCGTCGCGTTGGCCCCGGGCCCTTGCAGCGAGGCGATGGCTGGCGAGCTGTAGCCTTTACCCAGGCCTGCTGAGAACGGGGCCAGCGACACTGCCAGTGCTGCCAACACCTGCAAAACAAATCATCATCATCATCATCAGCTTTAATCTCCCCACTGCTGGGGCGCAGGCTTTCCCTATAGATGGCATAGGGAGATTGGGCCATGGCCAGTGCGGATTAGTGGGTGTTTACGACTGCAGATGCAGCCGGGACCAACGGCTTAACGTGCCTTCTGATGCACGAAGGAGTTCGAGATAGTAAATTTTTGGTCACCCATCCAATGACCGAACACTGTGAAAGTTGGTAAGCTACAACGATCGCAGCACCTGCGCCATCAAGCTCCTCGACATGGGAACCAAGTATATATTCAGTTAAGGCTTTTACAAGCACATGTACGTGAAAATTGAAATTTACGCTACCGGTTTTAATGTACGTCAGGGGGACCTTATACTGAGAAGAACCGGAAAGAAACACAGCAAGGGCTGCTTTTTTATTTAATATAGTGTCATTTATTTGTAAGAGACTTCAAACTTATAAATATTTACAATGGTGTCGATTCTAGCATAATTCTCTAAACCTAAACTTAAATTTGACAGCAGTATATCCTTGTCATTCTCTATACAGAATGAAAAGGAGAGACTGATGTTAAATTTAGTTTTAAGTTTAGAGAATCACGCCAGAATTGGCACCAGTATCTACCTTATTTTAAGCGAATCTCCGATAGTTCGGCACTGTTGCAAGCGCCACGATTACGGAGTAACTGTTCACGGATTACTTGAATGGTAGCAATCTCGTGAATAACATAAATTACAATTGTATTTTTTGTCAACAACCTGGTCAATGGCCATGAATTCAAGTGTCGTATCAGTTTCAGTTAAAATAGATTGACATTTTTCTGCATGGTAGGTGCTAAGTCTGCTGCTAGTGGTAAAAATAGCCAGCGATATTATTGTTTCAAACATATGTTAATATATTTCTCATCTAAGTGATTCTCTGAGTCTATTTCGTCGTAATGAATATTTAACTTAAGAAAATATAATAGAAAATAATAATAATCATTATCGTTATAATTTTTATTTTTAAGCATGTAACTGCTGGGTGTTTAAATCTAAAGAAAATATAACTAGAAAAAATTCTACGCGGACCAGGCAGCAGACGAGACTCGAACCCACACCTTTCGCTATCCGGGCACTGACCAATTGTGCTACCGCGGCCCTGACGGCCACGTCGAAATTCTTCTAGGCATTTTTAAGCTGCAAGTCAGCGCCATTTCTTCGCATTGTAGGTAACCCACAATCATTATGGATTTGTTTCTTATATCTATATATTTTAAATTAGAACTACTGGAGCTAGAAGTAAGATTGCATTTTTAAGGCATCACACGAGTATAAAAATTAAAAACTAAGGCGAATCTCAAGATTGGGTGTAATAAGCATGAAATTTCTAGTTTCATCCCAACATCCTTTCGAAGCTCAGAATGGGAGCATATTCTTGTTCGTGTGTCGTCTTCAGATGCCTCAGTAAATTTGTGTTTTGCGACAATATACATTCATGGGCACGTAACGAACGGCCGAAGCGTGATCTGAAACCTTAAATGTATCGGGATATATGGGATACGTGGGCGATACTTTTATTCAGGAGGGTACTGAAAAAACTGATGGTTTAGCCTGTGTAAATAAATTATCTATTTATTTAAATCTGTAAAGACTAACGGCTGATACTTCAATATTAGGTTACATAAAAATAGCAGAAAGCCATTTATACGTCCTCAGCAATAATAATAAAAAAGGTAGTAATTTACAAAAAACAATGTACACATTTATTACACCATTGTTTTAGCATTTAACTGCTAGACGTTTTCTAGTAAAATTTTGTTTACAGTAGTATTTGTTAGGTAGTGCAAAAAGAACCTTAAAGAATAATTATCATACTACATAAATAAACATACTCCAATAAATTTCAAAGTACTCCAAAACTAATTAAAATCATGATAGCATTTGCTTGATAAATGCTCAAAAATAGTGGAAAAATAAAATTAGTCATAAACCCAATACTCAAAAAAGTTGCTACTCAGTAATTTCCTCGCCGATGCTACGCTAGTACTGAATAAGTAGAGTCATAAACATTATAAAGATAAATTAGCTTAGAAACAAGTATGAAAAAATTTCGTACTTGTTTCTAAGCTTATTGAGATCTCTCAATATCCTATCAATATCAATATCCTATGTACCTCAATCTTGAGGAGCGTGAGATTTTGAATAATAAAAGTAAATAAAGAGCAGTAGAGAGAGGAATACATTGACTTAATAAAATAAATTAGCATGAATAACATATACTAAGTCCCATGCCCTAGAAACATCCAACATTTTTTTTTTCAGAAGAACTATTAAGTCCGAATTTCAGCCAGTAGATGACCCTCGATCCCTAGTCTTTATTCAAATTGAAGGTTCATTACATTAGAATTTAATCTGACAACAAACCCAACAAACTCCAAATTGACGAACAATAATGCAATGACGAATGTGTTAAATTGGAATAAGCTTGAATTCGATTCAAGAACGGTTATATTATACCTGAAACTCAGGCATTCAATCAAGCACGTGCGTATTTAGAATAAATTCGAATGAACGAATATATTGAACCAAACCAAATTAATGTTTACGATCTGCGACCGTATACCACAAAACAGTAAACGACACAGCTATTTAATAAAAAAGAATATTATGTAAACCGAATATTTTAAGTTATTGTTAACTGAATACACTTAAGGCTGATATTTCATTGTTTTATTTAAGAATACGGGTTCATATAAGGTGGAGCTGGGCCGAAACATACCTACTAAGTTTTCCTCTATTTCCTGCGCACTTCAAGTTATTCTTGTTCGCTACGCACTTGCAATAGTATAATTATAGTGAACCATTTTCGTGTTGTTATTCTGTAGAATGTAAATATGAAATTCGCGATGCCCGTTTAGGTATTAAAAGGTTGTACATAGGAGTTTCACGGCCTCTGGTTATGTGCCAGGACAATAGATCAGAAATCAAATCAGAAATCAATATACAATGGAACCCCGGTAATCCGGCCCCTGGCTAATGCGGCACCCCATATAATCCGACATCGTCTATTACATACAAGTATTCGCTAATTCACGATTGAACAAGTTACAACTTGTACACACCATCACTATTGTGCTCGACGCGTAGGGTATTGTTTTTTTAGATTTTTTTGTAAATTCTATAGCATTAATGACGTTACTTTTATAATAAAACGTAATCTTTCTATTGTGTTGTTTAATTTACTAAATTTGACTTACATAACAAAGTATGATTTGTAATCTTATCATTGGATCTGTAATTTGTCGGATTACAAGGTACTCTTTTGTAAATAAATTCGGACTAAAGGGGGTCTTAGGCAGTACTCTATAATCCGACAAATTCGATAGTTCGACACTGCCCTGCAAAATGTTTGTCGGACTACCGGGGATCCACTGTATCTTTATTCAAATTGGATGTTATAGTACAACACTTTTGAATCGTCCAAATATTTTTTTCCCTACCATTCGTTATTGGACATATTTTTTAGCTGCGGAGAAAAACGAGCGAAAAAAAACTCCACAACATTAAAAGCATAATGTAACAACATTTACAAATCATTATGTTGTTACAACGTCAATACAATCATGATTTATTTAATATAGAAAACCTGTTGGAATGATTGGAACAGTTCAAACCCAAGCATTTTTGTCTGTAATATAATCAGACATTTTGTAATAAGCTTTTTTAATAAGTGCTTTTTTTATACTATCTTTGAATTTATTTATAATAATTAGCGTGCGGCGTGTTAAAACTCAAACTTTATACGGTACGTGGAAAACGGGATTGTATTGTATATATTTTATACTATACATGTTGTTATATACAGTACCTCCTTTAAAAAAACACCCTGAAGCAATTCGAAGAAGAACTAGAACACTAGAACAACGAATCGTTAAACTGAATTGGCAATGTGTGAGGCACATAGTTGGGCGAATCGATGGACTTTGGGGTCCCAAGGTGCTTGTCTTTAATGGCGATCTCGAACCGGCAAGCGCAATGTCGGTAGACCGTCACCAGGTGGACTGATGACATCAAGCGAGTCGGGGGGACCCACTGAATGCGGAGTAGACACTCACCAGGTGGACTGATGACATCAAGCGAGTCGGGGCGACCCTTTGAATGCGTAAAGCGCAGGACCGTTGTGTATAGAAATCCCTTGAGGAGGCCTATGTCCAACAGTAGACGTCCATCGGCGGATGATGATGATGAACCGGAAACGAGTTGGGTATTCAACCCACAGACAATGGGACCAGAAAGTGTTTTTAGTCTACAATTCAAACTTATTTTAGACAAAACATCTAGTAATAAATTGCGCGGCAATTCATCAATAAGAGTGGGAACTATAAAAGGCAATTGAAATTGCTCGTTACTTCCTATTAATTTGTATAATACTGTATAATGGAATTAATGAGTTACGTTGAAGTATAAAGACTCATGTATAGCAACTATTTTCGCTGTGTAGCTGGCGAGAATGTGTTTTAATTACACCAATCGAAACAATTTAAGGACCACCAGCATAAGTATTCTGTAAGATGCAATCTCACTTACGATCCCATTTATTCGGATTTCTGACAAATTTCAAATATCTAATACTGGCTGCTTCTACAGACATAGCGACATTTTGCGGTGTAATCGCGTAATGCATATCAAACTTATGTCTGAAATGGCAGCTTCGGAAATCTGAAGTCAAATTTTATTTTAAACAATCGCCCTGCAGTACATAAACTAAAGACTCAACTAGCTTCCACCCCCGACTTCATCCGTTTTTAGCACAGAGATATAAAGTGTCCGATATCGTTATCCTCATTAATGAAGGAGATCGATGGCGCAAGTAATGTGTGCGATCGGTGAAGTTAAGCAACTTTCTCAGAGGTCGGTCATTGGATGGATGACCTAAAATAAAAAAAATGTGTGCGTGTAGTAGTGTACACACGTAAGAAGTGAAACTTCTTTATGGCCTTATTTTTCGAAAAATGATCTACATGCAACTTTCCAGAAATTGGTTAAATAAAGTTAAATTAGATAAAGTTTAAACAAAAGGATTTTATTATCATAGACATGAATACAAATTACTGCCTATGAAACTGTTATGATTACACGGCTCAGTAATCTAAGGCACATGTTCCACCTCCGACGATGAACGATAAGCGAGTAGAAACTAGAAACGAATTGGCAGTCCTGAGTTAAAATGCACGCGCACGGCTTTTGACAGCCAAGCCAGCTTAACCGAGCGAGTATCGCTGAGCGAGTATCGCTGAGCGAGTACCGCTGAGCGAGTATCGCTGAGCGAGTATCGCTGAGCGAGTATCGCTGAGCGAGTATCGCTATGCGAGTTTGGCTGAGCGAGTCTTATCTTTAATAACTATTGTCACTCAGCTACAAACGAGTAGAGAGAGTTCTCGCCGGCGACAGTGTGATCATTCAGCTATCAACTATTAATATAAAATAAGATGGCGCGTAACGGAAAAATGTGACGCGTAACCGAAAAATGTGACGGTAATTTTTTTTCCAACGCCGATAAAGAAGTTTCACTTCAAAAATACTATTTCAATCTTCTCCATTCTTTGGAAGGAACGTTTAACCGTTGACCCTGGCTGCATCTGCAGTCGTTAGCATACACCAATACACACTTTAGCCATGGTTGACTTTCCTATTCCTTTCATAGGGAAGGCCTATGCCCCAGCAGTGGGGACATTAATAGGCTGATGATGACGATGTTTTCCAGGTAATCAACCAAGTTTCCATGATTATTAACAAACATCCAAACTTTCACGTTTTAAAATATTAGTAGGATGATTAAAATGATTTCCACGCATATTTTCTCCCAAACAAACCTTCTTCACCCCAAAATTCTGAACAGGCGTATAATGTAATACCTTGTGACATTTATTATAATTTCAAGAGCTCGCCCAATGCTTGCTAATGCCTCACCTAACCATCTCATGGTTATTCATGAAGCGTATTCAAATATTAATGATCCCACTTAAAGACCTTCGGAGGCACTCCAGACTGTTTGCTTTCGGGATTTCGATAGAAAAACTCAAAAAATTGTTGTAAGAAAGTTTTTTCTGCATAGGCAGGCTATTGGTACTTTGGCCTGAAATAAATCTTTTATTAAATACTAGCTTTAGCCTGGGACTTCGTCCGCGTTTTCGTCGTTTTTCGTAAAAAAGTAGCATATGTCCTTCTTCAGGGTTCCGTGGTTTTGATGTGACAGACAGATTAACTTTCGTATTTTAGTAGGGAAATATAATATGTCAATCCACAATACTGTTAAAAATATCGCAATAAGGAACCGCAGAATATTATTATTATCACTGTGCCCCGAGATCATCAGCGTGTAACTCCTTGTATGTTATTATGTTAATGTATTGGTAATATTGTTTAGATCACTTTCACATGAGGCTTAAGTACATATAGAATGAAAATACTTCAGCGCAAAGCTTCCGGGTAAACTACGTTGAAAGTTGACCCGTCCGGCACGTGAATATAAAGATTTCTGGAACTGCTAACCCGGGAAAGAGCGACATATAACTGACCATGTGAAAAACAACTGACACCGAGATCTACTATAGCAACACGAAAAGTCTGCCCTTGTTAAATATGATAACTATAGTAGCGGCACGCTATGATGGCCGTTTTGACGTATGTGCGTTTATGAAGTTTCATGTTTTAAATTTGAAATTAGTTCTACATTTGATAAATATAATTATTGTTCTTCATTGTCATTTGAAGGGGGTAGAGGGTAGAAGATCCGCTGCCTGGTCCGCGTGGATATTTTTCTAGTAAACTTTTCTTTAGATTTAAACATCTAGCAGTTAAATGCTTAAAAATAAATAAAAACATAACTATAATTGCTATTTCTTCTTTCAAATGTTTAATACTTGAAAAAGTATTCATTTGACATTGTGGGTTACCTACAATGCAAAGAAATGGCGCTGCCTTGCAGCTTAAGGCTGGGAAAATTTCTACGCGGCAAATAGGGCCGTGGTAGCATAATGGTCAGTACATTCGCCCGGATTGCGAAGGGTGCGGGTTCGAGTCCCGTCCGCTGCCTAATTAATATTACTTGTTTTTTTTTTTCATTTATTGAGCTTTGGCTATGAATGGTTGATAACCTAAATCGTCAACCAAATGTCACTTTATGTTGCGTTCAAAAGCTCGATTTAAAACTTTCGTTTACATATAGGATGCATGTTCGTATGTGACTTGCATGATTATTCTTATCTTCTCCGGCGGTAATGCAGAGATGAGCGAAATTGAAGATCTAGATTTTGATTAATTTTTTTTTCACACAGTCTTAATAAAGAAATACTATTAAAAATCGTTTGTGTTCTTTCTCAACCTTAGTAAATTAATTTTATTAATAAATCTGATGTTTTGTCTCACTTAATCCTAGTAAATAAGTTTTATTAAATAGCATAATTTTTTTGCTCACTCTACCTATTTGGTTTGAATTGACAGCTATGACGTTAAAATATGGCGCCCAGTCGGTCCTATCCTTAGTTGAATCGCATTTATAATTTCAAAATTTTTACCTAAAACAGATTTTTTTAACAAAGCGTCTTAATAAGTAATTTTAATTCTAAAGAAAAGTATACTAGAAAAAAAAATCCACGCGGACCAGGCAGCGGACGGGACTCGAACCCGCGTCCTTCGCTATCCGGGCGAATGCACTGACCAATTATGCTACCGCGGCCCTCACGGACCGCGTCGAAATTCTTCTAGCCATTCTTAAGCTGCAAGGCAGCGCCATCTCTTCGCATTATAGGTAACCCACAATGTCAAATGAATACTTTTACAAGTATTAAACATTTGAAAGAAGAAATAGCAATTATGGTTATAATTTTTTATTATTTTAAAGCATGTAACTGCTTGATGTTTAAATCTAAAGAAAAGTTTACTAGAAAAAAAAAACCTACCTGTGGGTTACCTATAATGCGAAGAGATGGCGCTGCCTTGCAGCTTAAGAATGGCTAGAAGAATTTCGACGCGGTCCGTGAGGGCCGCGGTAGCATAATTGGTCAGTGCATTCGCCCGGATAGCGAAGGACGCGGGTTCGAGTCCCGTCCGCTGCCTGGTCCGCGTGGATTTTTTTTCTAGTAAACTTTTCTTTAGATTTAAACATCAAGCAGTTACATGCTTTAAAATAATAAAAATTATAAGTAATTTTAAATTATTAAAATAAATCAGAGCTCGTTTCACTCGAATAACTAGGATTGCCGCAGGCTTATCAGCTTTATGACGAGCGGGGTTGGAAACAAAAGTATTTTCGGATCAAAGTGTTTTAAGTGGACTGACCTCAGGGATGGAGAGCGATGGGCAGGGCTTAACCCTTTACTGTGAAAGCTCGCTGTTAGGATCGTTCGAGGCGAAATAATTTGATTAATAGCCTATATCTCATACATATATGTTAAACATATATAAATTGTTTTATACAGCGTATATGTATCAGAATCAGAATTTTATTTGTGAAACATAGGTTAGTATACATTGTATATAAAATTTTTGTTAGTATCACTACATTTCCACCTTAATTAAGGTATACAAATAGATATGGAGCTATGAAAGAAGTACTATTATTTTTACATTGGAATCACAATTTATGAATATATAATTTGAAAATTGTCTATTGTTACATGCATGTCAAAGTAGATTATAAATCTTTATATATATAATTCTTCTGTGAGTGTGTATGTCACTGAACTTCTCTTAAACGACTGGACCGATTTTGATGAAATTTTTTGTGTGTGTTCAAGGGGATCTGAGAATGGTTTAGATTCACAATTTTGTCCGCTGGACAACCCCTATTTTTTTAGGGCGGTACGAAGTTCGCTGGGTCAGCTAGTTAATTATAAATTTGATAAGCCATAAAGTTGTCATACTAATAGTCAAAATTTTAATAGAAAAATAAGCAAAATGTCCAAAATAGCAATAAATACACATTTCTTAACTGAATTGACAAATTTTAATATGTCTAAATTTTATAATAGAGAACTGCTTTTATAAAAGACATCTCCGATTTAATTACAAGATTTGTCATTTACTAAGAATAACTTGATGGAAATCATTGTATGTTTTGTACATATTCCGTAAATTCCGCTACCTACAACGTAATTTTTAGGAGACCTGTAATTGACTATTCTATGTAATTAAACTCTTAACAAAAAAGTAATAAACAAGCTGTTGGTTTCTTAAAAAATATAAAAAATAACGTAGTCATATCTTATTTGACGACCTCCGTGGCCGAGTGGTTTGTACGCCAGGTTTCATGGTGTCGCCGACTCGAGAGGTCCCGGTTCGGATCCTGGTGGGGGCAGATGTTTGTGTGATGAATACGAGCATTTGTGCTCCAGTCATGGATGTTAAATATGTATTTCTATATAAATATACTTATTTATGTACTGTATATATATGTATTCTATCCGTTACCCTAATATCCCATAACACAAGCCTTACAGTGCTTACTTTGGGGCTAGGCTAAATGGTGTGTTAAAAAAACCGACTACAAGGACTCATTGACTGATGATCATTAGTGACGAAAAAATAAAATCGAAAATTTTAGACGTCATCATCATTTTTAGAAAGATATATCTATAAATATAAAACTCA